CACACACACACACACACACACACACACACACGGCACATTGTGCTGCAGTACATATTCACGCCCACAGAGCATGAGACCGGGCCAATCGGACCCTGACCAGAACCTTGTCTTCTGTGTGTGTTCAGGAGTCACTACTGACGACAGAGAGAGTGTTGTAATCCTGACTTCCTGTCTCACAGTCAGGGCCTTTAACAGCAGTGATCCCACACCTGAGTGGACCGCTCCAATCTGTCAATTCATTTTTAATGATCTGCTATTTGAGAAGAGCAGAACCAAAATGGAGGAGTGACCTTGATCTGAGGAGTGACCTTGATCTGAGGAGTGACCTTGATCTGAGGAGTGACCTTGATCTGAGGAGTGACCTTGATCTGAGGAGTGACCTTGATCTGAGGAGTGACCTTGATCTGAGGAGTGACCTTGATCTGAGGAGTGACCTTGATCTGAGGAGTGACCCCGTCCTCAGATCATGTGACCGGAGGCAGAAAATAGGCCGTAGTATTACAGTATTTAAAGTACACACTGGAGGGGGAGGGGGGGTCAGAGCTCCAGCTGTGGTCAGTTTGGACGTCATGCGCTCTCCACATGCACACACTTCTGTCCAGGTCGTCCACAGTGATGTCACCGTGACATCACCGTGACATCACCGTGACATCACCGTGACATCACCGTGACATCACTCCCTCTGTTTTGCTCCAACTCCAACCAGTTTTTCCCGCTCTCTTCCAGATACTACTACAACAAGAGGATTCTTCATAAGACCAAGGGCAAGAGGTTCACCTACAAGTTCAACTTCAACAAACTGGTGCTGGTCAACTACCCCTACATCGAGATGGGCTCCTCTGGTAGGTGGATCACTGGGTCGGAGCCCGCGCTGCAGCAACAGCTGAGATCTTCAGTTTTCAGAAATGTTCCTGTGCTTCTCTTCTCTCTCCTCTAGGGAGCAGTGTCCCGCAGAGCGCTCCTCCCGTCCCCACGGGAGCCACCCACTTCCGCTTCCCTCCGTCCACCCCCTCCGAGGTTCTGTCCCCTAACGAGGACCTGCGCAGCCCGGGTGGTATGTTCAGCTCTGTGGCCCGGAGAATGGGCCGCGGCTCGGTCAGCGACTGCAGCGACGGCACGTCTGTCAACTCAGAGATCGAGGACGGAAACACAGGGGCAGGAGAGGAGAGGGGGGAGAGGGTTGTGAGCGGAGGAGGGGGGGGAGGCTACAGGAGCATCATACATCCTCGTCTCTCCCACGAAGCCTTGTTCCGCATGTACGGGGGAGGGAACCCCGCGGGACACCCGGGCTCCCGTGGACCTGCTGGACACCGCATCCACCCGGAACCTCTGTCCCCCTTCCCTGTGTCCCCCCTGCCGGGACCAGGGGGCCCCGGTCTCCTGGCCCCTCCCCTGTCCCCGGCCCTCTCCATGACCCCGACGTCTCACCTCACCTACACTCCCTCACCCACCCTGTCTCCCATGTTGGGCTCCCACTTCTCCTTTAACCCCGAGGACATGAAGCGGTACCTGCGCGCCCACACCCAGTCGGTGTACAACTACGGCCTGAGCCCCAGAGCGTTCCTCCAGTACCCCAACATCGTCATCCCGCAGCCCCACCGTCCGGCCGCAGACAAGACGGAGCTGAGCGTGGAGCGAGGAGCGGCCACGGCGGGGGGAGCAGAGAGGGCGGGGGAGCGCCACCACCACCCGTCCTTAGCTCACTCCACGCACCACCACCCACACCCGCCTCACTCCACTCACACCCATTCCCACCCCATGCATCACCCGCTGCATCTGGGCGAGGAGCCCCCGCACATGTCTCCGTTCAAGTTCAAGCTGCAGCCCCCGCCTCTGGGGAAGAAGCAGCGGGAGACCCAGAGTCAGAACAAACCCCGGCAGAGCTCCCTGTCCTCGGGGTCAGGGTCCATGTCGTCCACCTCAGGACTCGGGTCTTCGCTGTCGTTCGGCAGCGACCTGAGCTCGGCCGGCGGTTCAGGCGTCGTCTCTGCCTCGTCCTCCACCCAGTCTCTGAACAGCGCTGGACTTCCCAAGATCAAGGTGAGACACACACACACACTGGTCTGTGGCAGATGGTCCACAGCAGACCATCGACAGGTTTGTGGTAACGATACGAAGAATTAGAAGATGTGTTTTACAGTTAGTTTTTGGAATGAGAATAAATCCACTTTGTGACCCAGAAGTTTTTCAGGTTCAGCTGTGATAACGCTAACACCATGGTTGTCCTGCTCCTCTGCTCCTCTGCTCCTCTTGACTCCCCAGGTGGAGCCCATCTCTGACATCGAGTCGGAGGAGGAGGTGGAGGTGACAGACATCAGTGATGAAGACCCAGACGAGAGAGATGAAGATTACGAGTTCTTCTCCCCCCAGCACTCCAGAGGGACCGATCTTCACCATCATCACGTTGCCAACGGCACAACCACATCCCAGCACCACCCCCCCCCTGACGAGGACCTGGAGGAGGACGTGTTCAAAGCCCCCGCTCCGCCTCTGCCCACGCCCTTCCTCTCATCACAGCACATTCACTCCAGCTCTCTTCGTGGCCCGCCCACCCTCAAAACTGAACCCACCGACCCGGGGGAGAGCAGCACCCCCCCACCTCAGACCAAGTGCATCCCCCTGAAGTTGCGCTTCAAGAGGCGTTGGACCGAGGACCAGCGCATGGAGGCCTCGCAGGAAGAGTCGGACGACAAGAAGGTCCGGCCTGAGGAGGAGAGAGAGAGAGAGAGGGAGAGAGAGAGG